GCCAAACAGAAGTCAACATTGTGAGTTTTCGGAATGACAAGAGCAAGATTCCTGCATGTTTTAAATCACGAACACAGCTTATTTGTTTGATTTAGTGGTGAACCGCTTCTCTAGAAACCTGTTGTACTCGTGCCAGCGGGTGCATCTCTCCCTCTCTGGCCGGTCGCTCCCGACGCCTCAGCAGGAGTGGACATCCTCTTCTACTCACACTGGAAGCTGCCGTTTTAACTTAAACTAGGTTAGTGAAATAAGGACACGACTTTACAGAACACGTGCACATGTCCTCAGCTCTCCCAGTGCATGAAGAGGGTCACAGCGCGCCGCGACGCCACCTGCAGCCTCACACATGCGCGCACACAGGGGAGGAGGAACCCGCACTTCCCTTTTTATTGAAGGACTTGAACTCCACCCACATAGACATTGGTAGTGATAGACATCTCACTACAACACCCCCACTCGATGACATCACAATAACATTTATGTCTGCTTTCTTGTTTCCTCACATTCCAAACAACAACTTGCAGAAACATTCCAGTTTAACCTTTGTAGCAGATTTTGTGAACCCATCTGCTATCATGTTTTCTGTTGAACAATAAACAAGGACCATATTACCACGTGACACATTGTCCCTCACAAAATGGTACTTAATGTCCACGTGTTTGCTTCTCTGATGGTTTGTTGGATTCTTTGCCAAGCTTATTGTTCCTTGGTTGTCCTCGAAGACTTTAACTGGACCATTTTTAACATGTAGTCCCATGTCCGTGAGCAGGCTTCTGAGATACAAGGCTTCTTGAACTGCTGCTGCTAGAGCCATGTACTCTGCCTCGCATGTCGACAGCGCAACAGTCTGTTGCTTCTTAGTCTTCCATGAAACCACAGCGCCATCTTCCTGTAGACTGAAGCAGTAACCTGTAACACTCTTTCTGTCCCCTGGATCGTTTGCCCAGTCTGCATCAGAAAATCCAAACAGTTCTAAACTGTCCTCAGTCTTTTTGTAACATAACGGGTAATGTTGTGTCCCTTTCAAATATCTGTACACATGTTTGACAGCCGTCACATGTTTTTGTCTAGGATCAGACATATACCTTGACAGATTGCTCACAATCCAGCAAATGTCTGGCCTGGTGCAGGTCATGATGTAAATGAGACTGCCCACCATAGCTCTGTACTCTTTGGGATCTGTGGGGTCTCCTTCTACAGTGAGATCACACTTGGTTTCACAGGGAGTAGTCCTGGTTTTGCAGTCTGACATTCCTGATCTTTCAAGTATCTTCTGTATATACTTAGACTGGTCCATTTTTATCTCATCCTGTGTTTGTACAAAATCTATCCCAAGAAAATGGGTAAGTTGCCCTAAATCTTTCATTTGGAAAAGATTTTCCAGTGTTGTTTTGACTTGTTTCAAGATGTTATCATGACTGGCAGCCACAATTATATCATCCACCCACACCAACAAGATCACACTTTCACCTTCTGACTGATATGTGTAGATACAATTGTCTGTTGCACTTTGAACAAAACCGTTTTTGACCAGAGAGCCATGGAGCATTTGGTTCCAATTTCTTCTAGATTGTTTTAACCCATAAATTGATTTGTTCAACTTCCAGACCATTTTTCTTTCTCCCTTTGGACCTTCATGGAAACCTTGTGGTTGTTCCATATATACCTCACAATCAATAGGTGCGTGTAAATATGCAGCCTTAACATCCATCTGATGTAGTTTGAGGTTGTGCTGAGCTGCAAGCTGCATGAGTACACGTAATGATGTGAGGTTAGCTGTAGGTGCGAACGTTTCATAGTAATCTACACCCTGCACTTGTGTGTAGCCCTTAGCGACGTATCTTGCCTTATGTGTCTCATTCCCTTTTGCATCCTCCTTCAATGCAAAAACCCACCTACCTCCAACTGTTTGTTTCCCTTCCGGTAAAGGAACAAGAGAAAATGTGTTGCTGTCCTTTAAAGCTGTCATCTCATCTGTCGTTGCTTGTTTCCACTTTTCCCTTCTGTCTGATTCTAAAGCTTCATCATAACTTTGAGGGATGCCTGTTGCAATACGGTAGCAGTAATCGATATCTAGCTCGATACTTTGAACTGTACACTCATAGTCTTCAAGATATTTAGGCTTCCTTCTCTCCCTGCCAGATGTGCGTGTAGCCTGTGTGTCTTCCTCCCTGTCTGTGTCATGTTCCTCTGTAAACTCGGTCTGGGACTCTTCAGGTTGGTTTACTTCAGTTACAGTCGTCTCCCATCTACTTACGTAACCTCCACTTTTTTCCAAATCGGTCTGTGTGTGTTTTTCTGCTTTGCTTTTCTCAAGATAAGTCACCAGCCTGTGTTTTTGAACATTATTTGTTTCTGGGAAGAACACCATTTTAGCAGGAGAATGAGTGTCAAAACCCACAAAGGTCCCTCTCTTTCCTTTTGGATCTAATTTCTTCCTGTCTCTGTTAAACACGATGCACTCAGATCCAAACTTTCTCATTTCAGATAAGTTTGGTTTTCTACCTGTAAATAGAAAGTATGGGGTCTCTCCCATTCTGTTGCAGTAGCACCTGTTTCTTATCACAGTAGCTAACTTTGCTGCATGGGGCCATAACTCCTTAGGTAACCCTGACTCTATCAGCATGCACCTGACCATTTCAAATAAGGTGCGCCAATTCCTTTCCGCCGTCCCATTTTGGTGGGGAGAGTACGGGGCTGACCTTTCATGTCTGATGCCATTTTCTCTCAACAAAGTTTGGTACTCCTCTGACATGAACTTAGTTCCATTATCTGACCTCAGGCGTTTAACCTTTCCGAATGGTTCCATGTCTGCTAGAAACTGCTGTGTAGCCTGGACTGCTTTGTTCTTGTTCCTTAGAAAGTACACATGAATAGTACCAGAATAGTCATCGACAAAAGTAATAGCATACTTAAAACCTTCAAATGACTCTGGAGAAATAGGACCCCCTAAATCAGTGTGCACCAGCTCTAAGGGTGCTTTAGCCCTTGTGTCAGCTGTCTTGATTCTTGTCAATGTGAATTTCCCTTTTACACAAGTTTCGCATTGGTTAGTTTTGTTACCCTTGTCTCTGATCGCCATCCCCTCTACTATGGGTTCGAGCTTCAAAATATCCCCATAATTACAATGACCCATAATCTCACGCCATTCCTTCAGATCAAGACATACATTACAGGAATCCTTGCTGTTTGAAGCAGTTGCTGGTGTAGCGTCCAAATAATACAACCTGTCTTTTACCTTCAACCTACATGTGGAGCCATCTGGGAGGATCATCTTGCTGCTGTCTTTTTCAAAACTGAATTTTACTCCCCTTGACACTGCTGCCTCCACAGACAAAATGTCTTGTGGATACTCAGGAATCAGTAGAGCACTGGTCAGTATTATCTTCAGAACTTTTCCCGTGTCGTCAGTCACCTCCAGCTGAGCGTCTCCCCGCGCTGAAACACTGCCAGTGTGCCGCGTGCCGTCTGCCAACTCCACCACGTGCCTCTTCTGCTGGAACGCCTTGTTGAACCGGATGAAAGCTTTTTCATCTGTGATGATGTGAGTGGAAGCACCGCTGTCAATCAGGAGTCCTCTCTGCGTTGTGTCCTTAGGTTTGTACTCATTTACTTTCAGTAGAAAAGAGCTATTTTCTTTAGCTTCACTCCTGTGACCTGTTTCTGGAGATCTGTTCCCCTGCGCAGTCTCTGTAACAGTGGAGGCCTTGCTGTTGTCCCGCGTCACAGTGCTGGACTGTTTCCAGTTACTCTTCTTCTTTAATCTGCAGTCTCTTGCTCTGTGACCAACCTTCTCACAGATAAAACATTCTCCATCAAAATGTTTCCCTGGTTTTATTTTCTCTTTGGGCTGAACATTTTTGTGCTTTGTCACCATCACTTCATCTGCACGAGGTCTGTTCCGGTAGCGTAACGTGCATTCGAAACTTCTCAGCCGGGCCTTGAACTCATTAAACGTGAGCGAGTCTCTCGTCTGTGTTACATGCACTGTGAACGGGTCATATTCTTCCGTCAGGCCTTTTAACACCATTGCCACCAAGAGTGCGTCGCTTAGCGTCTCTTTTGCTCTGTTTAATGCCGCAATAATTTTCTCCACACGTGTCAAATAGTCCACCAGCTCCTCACCAGGTGCCATCACCACGTTAGTCAGCTCCGTGTAGAGTCCCACAATGCGCGGTTTTTCCTCAGACTCAAAGTGACGTCTTAATATCTCTAGACTTTTCTCTCCGTTGTCTGGAGCTTCATATAGTATTAGCATTAGTGTTTGGTCGTCTAGACAACAGCAGAGTTCAGCACATGCTAGCTCGTTCCTCTTACCGACTTCCACAGCCTCTGGTGTGTTCGGTGCCGCTCGGTCCTTTCCGAGTATTGTGTCCTTTAGGCCTAACGTCTTCATATCGGCCAAAAACCTCGCTTCCCATATATGGTACCTCGCTTCATCTCCGTCGAAGCGGGGCGGCGGGCCGCGTCCATATACTTGGGTGTGCTGCTGGGCATGCCTGGGCCCATAACCTGTTGTACTCGTGCCAGCGGGTGCATCTCTCCCTCTCTGGCCGGTCGCTCCCGACGCCTCAGCAGGAGTGGACATCCTCTTCTACTCACACTGGAAGCTGCCGTTTTAACTTAAACTAGGTTAGTGAAATAAGGACACGACTTTACAAAACACGTGCACATGTCCTCAGCTCTCCCAGTGCATGAAGAGGGTCACAGCGCCCCGCGACGCCACCTGCAGCCTCACACATGCGCGCACACAGGGGAGGAGGAACCCGCACTTCCCTTTTTATTGAAGGACTTGAACTCCACCCACATAGACATTGGTAGTGATAGACATCTCACTACAACAAAACTAATGAAGGCTGAGGAGACGTTTGAGCGGTTGGATTAAGGTGTAAGGACCGCGCTGCGAGGAGTTAAGTTTAACTTTGTTTCCACTAAACGGACACTTGGGGTGCTAAAGCAAGCTAAAACTGCAGAGAGCTCCTCTACTTCTACTCCTTCAGGACTTTATGGACACGGAGCTGCTTCTCTCTCGGGACAACGTTGACCAGAATGCCTTAGAGGCGTATGCCCGTGAGGCGGCGGACTTTTCCACCCACCACCAACTGCCATCTCTGGACTTTGCCATCAACCACTACGGCCAGCCAGACGTCGCCATGTTTGACTTTACATCCATGTATGCATCGGAGAATGCCGCCATGGTCCTACAACGCCGTGAACACCAGCTTCTGGTCTCACTAGTGGGAGACAGCCTGTTGGAGGTGAGGCTGGTGGTGATAATTCTGTCCTACTTTATTTTATATCACTTTGATTAAAGTAAAATGAAAAGACACAGTAGACGATGAAGAAGAGTAGGAAGCACAATAAAAACATGGACACCTGTATGTCTCTCTCCACAGCCATTTTGGCCGATGGGGACAGGTATAGCTCGGGGATTTCTGGCTGCTTTGGACTCAGCCTGGATGGTAAGACGTTGGGCTCAGGGTGCAGCTCTGTTGGAGATCCTTGCTGAGAGGTGAGGGCCAAGCCGGATGTTACACCTGGTGAAACACAAAAGCTGCTGTTTTACATCATTATGTCTGTTTCACAGGGAAAGTTTATACCGTCTCCTCCCTCAGACGACTCCAGAGAACATGCAGAAGAACATCAGTCAGTTCTCAGTAGATCCATCAACCAGATATGTGAACATCAGCCCTCTGACCATCACACCTGTCCAGGTGAGGAACTGATTCCTGTTTGTTTCATTGAAAGCAAAAAAAGTTCAATTTGCTCATCTCAAAAGACGCGCATTCCCCTCCAGGTGAGACATCTGGTAGACACTGGTGATGAGGCGGGGCCTAACACAGGAGGAGGCAGTATTATGCAGCTACCCTCCCCAAGGGGATCAAAACCAGGTGACTGTGTGATTGTACAAGTTCAATACTTGTGTAACACTGGATTCACGTAGCGTGCCTGTGCCCCCTACAGGATGCTGCATAGTTCTACAACTCGAGTTTTTCACTTTTATTTGAGGTTTTTAGCAGTTGAAGGTTACGGTACTAGCTTACTGCTCACTACTGTGTTCACACATGTACCTTTGTTATTCTTTTTCTTCAAATTACTCTCTTAAGTGTTGCTGCTGCTCTAACAAGTGAATTTCCCCACTGTGGGATGAATCAAGTCTATTCTATCTTATTCTTGTAAAAGCAGTGTTAGCTGTTAGCATCCATCCATCCATCTATTTTCTTTCACTTATCCGGGGAAGGGCTAAGTTGGGCTCAGAAAGAGGTGGCTGGGGTAACACCAGGGATGTATTATATGTCCTCCACTCTTTATTGTGACTGCTAAACAAAACCTTGGGTTCAGCTGGGCTTCGACCTAAATATGTGAAGATATGATGTAGGGTGAGGCGTTGTCGCCCCATTGAGAACTCTACTCTGGTTTTAGTAAGTCCCTTTGAAGAATCAAACTTTATTTGTATAGCACATTTCATACAAAAGCAAATGCAGCTCAAAGTGCTTTACAGATAAAACACACACACACACAACCTAAACAACAGCATCAGTAAACACTAGGCTGAGTGTAACATGACTGTAAGCTCTAATCTGATTGGTCTCTCCCACAGAACCCTTCTCTCAATCCAATCATCTTTTGGCTTGGTGCCAGGAACAGACCTGTGGTTATAAAGGCGTCATTGTTAGGGACCTGACTAACTCCTGGAAGAGTGGACTTGCTCTGTGTGCCCTTATTCATCGACATCGACCTGATCTGATGTAACCCTCCCAGAATTATCCTCCATTACAACTTCTTTCTGTTTTTGGCAGAACTGCATGTGACTGGTGGCTAATGTTGGTTGGTTTCTTGTCACTTCATGTCTGCCCTCAGGAACTATGAATCTCTGGATGAGTCATTAGTTGAAGAAAACATCCGACTTGCCTTCAGTGTGGCAGAGCAAGAGTTTGGGATTCCTCCTCTGATGACGGTGGAAGAAATGTTGTCTGAGGGAGAGCCAGACTGTCTGTCGATGGTGATGTACCTGAGTCAGTTCTACCAGCTGCTGAAGGATCCGCCACCCCCTGCTGGTGAGTCTGCAGATATAGCACCTACCACCAGGCCCAAGGTGCTGAACAGCACATAAAAACAACATAGTAGATAAACGTGAGTTTATAGGCGAGACTTTTGTGACCACACTCTTCTTACATTGTGTCATGGAATCAAGATCAGTCTCATCACCTGCTCCAGCACTTTCACCAGGGCTGAGGTTTATAACCTCGCTTTTAGACTCATTTAGAAAGAGGAAGTTAGCAGCTATCCATGACTTAGCCTACCTTAAGCAGTCCAATAATGCAGAGACAGAGCCTTCTAGCAGTCGTCCGCATAAAAATGGAACTTAACTCCATGGCGCTGAAAGAGGACCCCCAGGGACAAGAGGTATAGTGTAAACAGAACAGAGCCTTGGGGAACCCCATCTGAGACTTTCCCATGCTGAAAAAGCTTCACCCATCCACACACAAAACCTCCTTCCATCAAGATACAACCTCATCCAATGAAGCACCACCCCGTAATCCCCACTCAGTTCGATAAATGATCCAGCAGGATGTCATGGTCCACCGGATCAAAGGCAACAGTCAAGTCCAGTAGGAAAAGGACAACAGCATCACCCTACTCACCAGCGAAAATATATCAATAAGAACCAGTAAAAGAGCAGTCTCTGTGCTGTGTCCAGCTTTGAAACCTGACTGCTGTCTCCAAAATATCATGAGAATTCAGGAAGTCCACCGATTGTAAATAAACCACCCTCTCCAGACGCTTAGCGAGAAACAGGAGCTTTGAGACAGGTCTGTAGGTGGCTAAAACTGAATAATCCATTCCAGGTTGTTTTAAAGTGCGACAGACAACTGCTTTCTTCAAAGAGCTTGGGACCACACCCTCATGTAGACTTCCATTTATCATCGCCTCAATAAGAGGGGCCAGTGATGAAAACGCCTTCTTTTTAACCTCTCCATTGATTCATGCACTCTTCTGAAAGCATGGCAAGTTACGAAGATCATTCCGTTGCATAAGGGGTGTGATAACCAGGTACTTAACAATTATAGACCCATAGCAATAGCTAATACTATTCTGAAAATATCTGAGAAATTGATCTTTACCCAGTTATCTGATTATCTGGAAACTAATAATTTGTTACATCAAGACTGGATTACTGTAATCCATTACTCTCAGGAAGTCCACAGATTGTAGTTAAAAGTCTTCAGCTTGTCCAAATATATCTCATGAACCCGCCCCAAACCGCACCGCACTGAAGTAAAAAGTTATTGACCCGACCCACAAGTAACCCGCGGGTTAGAAGTCAATCCTCCGTCACTAACACCCACCTAACCCTAACCCTAACCCGAACTCCAGGGTGCAACAACTGAGCCGGCTGGGAAACCAAAGCCGCCCTGGGCTGGGTACGCTGTAACGGGCCTGTTCTCACTAGTACCCAGTCATCTTCCTCAGAAGACTCCACTCGATCCTGTTCTACTGAATGTCCACCAGAGGCAATCACCTCAACAGGTGATCCCACCCAAGCCACTGGCTTCAGCATAGCCCGGTGCACATTCCTCACCTTCTCTACATCGTCAGCAGGTGCCACCGTATACACTGGGCCTCCCTCTACCTGGACCCTCAGAACCTTGTGCACCACACTGCCCCACTGATCCTGGATCTTGTGTCGACCTTTCCAGCCTAGCTGTCTTAACAGCACATACTGACCCTCTTCCAGTGGAGAGTCTTTCACCCGCTGGTCATGGATGTTCTTCCTCTTTGCGGCAGCCCCCAACAACCGTTGCCTAGCGTCCTCGAAAGCCATCTGCAGCTGGTTTTGATGCTCTACGATCCAGTCGTGGACACTGCCACTCACAGGCTCTGGGACCCTTCCCAGCAGGAAATCCACTGGGAGCCTCGGTTCCTGGCCAAACATCAGAAAGAATGGAGACTCTCCTGTCGACTGATGTAATGTTGTGTTGTACGAAAAGCACAACTGTGGTAAACAGGAGCTCCACTCCCTCTTTCTGGACACAGGTAACGTTCGCAGTAAGTTGTGCAGAGTGCGATTAAACCGCTCACACTGCCCATGACCAGCAGGGTGGTAAGGAGTGGTACGCGACTTTTGGATACCATACATCTCGCACAACTGTCGGATTAACAAGCTTTCGAAGTTCCGGCCCTGATCTGAATGAATACGAGCGGGGACTCCAAACTTTGAAAACCACTCTGTGACCAGGACTTGTGCTACAGTGGAAGCATGTTGGTACCGAGTAGGAACGGCCCACGTGTACTTACTAAATACATCTATAAGTACCAAAACATTCTCCGTCCCATCTCGTGAAGGTTCCAACACCGTGAAATCCATAGCCAGGATCTCATTCGGTCGTGGGGCCAGCAAATGACCCATAAAGCTGCCCACTATAGGCCCCTCTTTGGCCATCTGACAGCTCTCACACTTACGACACCATTCTGCAACGTCCCCAGACATGCCAGGCCAGTAGCACCGACATCGGAGCAACTCTAACGTTCTCTCGATCCCCTGGTGAGCATGCTTCTGGTGAACCTCCCTTAAGACCTCCTCTTTTAGGGCCTCTGGTAACATTAGCTGTAGCGGTTCTGCTGTGGTCCGGGGAAGGGGAACCTGACGGTACAGAACTCCCCTCCTTTCAGTCAACCGGTCCCACTGCCTCAACAACACTGATGCCAGCTGTGACAGACACTTACGCTCCTCCCGACTTGGCTGCTTCTTCCTTCTCCAAAACCCTAGGACTTCCCGAATAACCGGATCACTTTGCTGGAGAGCGCACAAATCTGAAGTGGTGTACTGGGGAGATGCAGTCACAGTAGCCTGTACTGCCTTGGGTCTCTGTTTGTGCAGCGCATGCTGTAGGGGTTCAGGAAGAGGTGTAGAAGGGAGCATCACACCCAAGTCTGGGACTCCAGGGGGATGCAGCCGGGATAATGCATCTGCACTGATGTTACTCTTCCCTGACCTGTATCTCACCTCAAAATCAAACGAGGCCAGCTGGGCTGCCCAGCGCTGTTCAGTCGCACCGAGCTTAGCCGAGGAAAGATGGCTCAATGGGTTGTTATCTGTGTCAACCAGTCACTTCTGACCCAATAAATACTCCTTGAATTTCTCAGTCAGGGCCCATTTCAGCGCCAAAAACTCCAGCTTCATAGAGCTGTAGTTCTGCATGTTCCACTCGTTGGGCCTCAGTCCTCTGCTTGCACATGCTATGGGCCTAATCTTCCCATTTTGTTCTTGTGAAAGAACAGCGCCTAGCCCCCCATGGCTTGCATCCACCTCTAAAATAAAAGGACAGGAAAAGTCATCGTAAGCCAAGACGGGAGCGGTGGTAAGTCTCTGCTTTAAGGCCTCAAAACTCACCTGACACTCCTCAGTCCACTTCTCACCAAACTGTGTGCCAGTGAGCTGACTGTGTGAGCGTCTTGTCACCATGTCCCGATTGATCATGCGCCCTGGCTACTTGGCCAAGGGGATGTCCCGTTGGCTGACTGGTTAGAGCGCATGACTCTCACCCGGGAGTCTGGGGATCGAATCCCGCCCGGGCCCTCGTTCATCCACCTTGCCACATTCGCTCACACTGTCACACTTTTAAAGCTGCTTTTATTTGTTTGCATATGTTGATTTAGAGTTGTCCTTTCTGAGCTTCTTCAACCTTATCCACCTTCTGGGTCTGTCAGATCAGCTGGCCAGCCTCTCCGGGGACAGCCTGAGCCTTCTTTGTGGTGGTAGCATCTGCTGGTCTGCCCCCCCCCACACACACACATACTCTCATGGCCCGCAGGACGGAGAAATGCCAGGGCAGAATTTTGGTCTCAGCACCTAGTCTATGGAAGGAGCTGCCTTTGCACATCAGACAGGCTTTGTTTAAATCATGTTTAAAGACACTGTCTATTCTTTCTTCATGTGTTTATCCTTGTTTCCACGTCTTTGATAGGCGTCTCGTTCGGTTTTACAGTTCATCTCTTTGGTCAACAATGTTGTTTTAAAGTGCTTTATGAGTCAAGTTGAGTTGGTAAACAAAGCTAAAGGCATGACAACATCAGAGCCTGAACTGAGGGGTAAACTATATTTGTTTCAGGATGCCTGAGTCAAACCGCTGACCTGAGAGCAGCTCTCATCACTCCAGCCTCTCTACTCAGCAGACTGGGCTCCAGTCCATCCAGGAAGAGGAACCCAAAGGTACCTGCATCTGGTCCCAGCTGCTTCAGTTTCAAGTTTCTGTTAGTCTGAATGTTTGATCTCTGCAGGAACACAGTGATGCTCTTAGCAAAAGGAGAAGGAAGAGTCAGCCTCGTGGAGATCTTCTGGAGGTTGGTGCTCTCCTAACATACATCAGACACAGTTGCTTCTCCAAAAAGTTGTGATGACCAAAATACTGTCTGAGAGACTCAGTAAGGATAAAAATCCACATGCATGCTGAGCAGATACCGATGAAGACTTGATGTAGAGTGGGGAGCAGAAGTGAACTCTGATTTTTCAAGTTGTCCCACTTGGACGTCATGGAAGGGTCTGAACTTCACCTTGTAGGTGCATTCCCACTGTCAGAGACAGCATTTATAGTTAATTCAGGACATCACATTGTTTAGTGTTTAAAGAGTTTATTGTGTTGTACTGCTGCACAGAAATGTCTGGAAATTTACGGCAGAATTCCAAATCTGAGCTTTTTTCTGTAGAATTACGGCGTCCGGAAAATGACTGAAAAACGGTCTAATACAGAATCCCTTTTGGGGCACATGCTCTTTTGGCATCTTCAGCTTGTACGATCAGCAGTCATCGTCCAATTTTAAAGCATCTAAAGTTTATCACTCTTGAGACTAATTTCTGCTTTTGCATCTTTAATGTTCTTTAAAACGGTAGAAAAACTTCATCTAAGGTCAAAAAGTTACTTGGTTATCCTTCCAGGTGTGCAGATAACTAGCAGCTGTTTAAAAATAGTACATCAGGGGAAGTGGGCCGACTTCCCAAAAAAACGTGCAGTTTGGAGTCATGTGACTCATTACGTACCTCAAGGAAAAGTATGTTTTAGTTGCTGAGGTAACACAGGTTTAACTAGTTTAATGATGGCTAGTGGTTGTGTATGTTGGAGTTGTACAGACTCCTGTTTGTCTGGACATCAAGTTCATCAATGGTATCAATGTAGAGGCAGCATGGGCTGCGGCTTTCTGTAGGGAGCCCAAGTCTCCGCCCTCTTCGATCGGCTCATAGGTCCCTGAGCGGGGCTAAAAAAGCTATTTTCTAACCTGCTCTGATTACGCCCTGGATCACACATGCTGTACTTCAGTTTAAATGAAAAGTAATGATGGGGTTTCGACCACGCCAGTGACGTACTTTGAGATTTATCAGCTTGTAAAAGTTCGTAATTAACATGACTACACACTAGAAATCAGCATGTCATGATTACGGTAGCACGACTCGGGTCGCCAATTCTTCTCAGAATTGTGTGTTCTGAAACTCTAATTTCCCTCTGGGATCAATAAAGTATTTTTGAATGTCACATACGTGACATCACCACATAAGCTCCTCCCCCCTAGCGTAGCTGCTACTTACCACACGGCCAGATTTATGGTGGTTCTTTCCTCCTGTGAGAAGTTTGCTGAACTTAAAGCCCTTTTCCCTCAGTTTTCTCCGTGTCTGGGTCGATGACGTCACTTTGGTGAAGCGCGTTTGCAGTCCTGGACTTATTTTCACCCAAAACCTAAAATAAATTAGCACATTCTTGGTATCAAAATGTGTTTAAAATTCACGGACATCAAATGTGAAATCCATGGCACTTAACAAGCGGAATTAGAAAAGCCCCGGTGTCAGAGTTAATATTTCGTACAGAAGCCTTTGTTTGCCGTTCCGGAGGTCAAAGGTTGCCTGTAATCCTTGACCAGGTGTGCACACACTGCAGCAGGGATTTTGGCTGGGTTCCTTACATAGGAAACTTGTTGCTGACTGGCTTAATGCCCAGGGGTCTCATTTATCAAACATGGCGTAGAATCCTTACTAAACCGTACTTTAGCTCAGCAAAACAAAAGTACTTACGCCAAGCAGGTGTGTGACCTATCAAACATGGAGTACGCACAGCTGCACACGATCTCCGCTTCATAAATCAGAGACTATCTAGAAAGGTTCTCAGCTGCATTTTAGTCACATCCCGCCCTCACCACGCCCACTTGCTGCCATAAATGGTCAATGCAAAGTGCCTTGTGGACCTCATGCATATACATAAGCCGGCTGTTGCAGTGCTCCACCATTAACGATGGCGACCGTAGATCAAGGCAGATCAAGGAAGCGCTATTTCACAAGCAGAAGCTGAGGTACCTGTGGGTGAGGTGGAGAAATGAAAGGAAGTGCTTTTGCTAAACAAATCGCGATTCGTTGCCCAGACTCCCGGGTGAAAGTCACGCGCACTAACCAGTCAGCCAAACGGAGATCCCCCCTGTACAAGTAGCCAGGTCACATGATCAGTCGGGTCACAGTGACAGGACACACACTGTCACACACGCATGATGTTCTGTCTCAATCTGTCCCCCTGCTGATATTCTGCATTCCGTATTCTGGCTTCAGGCTGTGTGTGTGCATGCGCATGTGTGTGTGTGTGTGTGTGGGTGCGTGCGTGCGTGTGTGTGTGCATGTGTATGTGCGTGTGGGTGTGTGCGTGTGTGTGCGTGCGTGTGTGTGTGCATGTGTATGTGCGTGTGTGTGTGTGCATGTGTATGTGCATGTGGGTGTGTGCGTGTGTGTGCGTGCGTGTGTGTGTGCATGTGTGTGTGTGCGTGTGTGTGTGTGTGTGTGGGTGCGTGCGTGTGTGTGTGCATGTGTATGTGCGTGTGTGTGTGTGCATGTGTATGTGCGTGTGGGTGTGTGCGTGTGTGTGCGTGCGTGTGTGTGTGTGTGGGTGTGTGCATGCGTGTGTGCGTGTGTGTGTGTGTGCATGTGTATGTGCGTGTGTGTGTGTGCATGTGTATGTGCGTGTGGGTGTGTGCGTGTGTGTGCGTGCGTGTGTGTGTGTGTGGGTGTGTGCATGCGTGTGTGCGTGTGTGTGGGTTGGGGGGGGGTCTTGTTCTGTGTGAAAACAAAGCGGTACAAGTGATAATGCTGCAGGATTTCATAATTGTATCTTCTCAGCAGCAGCTCTGCAGGTGCTCTCCATGTCCAGCATGTGTGTAAGCCAGGTCCTTAGTCAGCTTAAAGTAGCGTACATTTTTCTGCTGTTTTCTTTTATAAATCCCAAAGTTTACGTGGAAAGTTGCTTACGCAGTTTTCCGACCCCGTTTTGTGTGTAAGCTAGCTTGATAAATGAGACCTCTGACCTGTGAGTTTACTGTGTGAAGGACCTTGAGGCGACTCTGGTCCTGATTTGGCGCTTTAGAAATAAACTTGAATTGAACTGAATTGGCCCTCGCCTCCACACAGATATGTCAGCTGTTGGGTCCCTCGCTGAGCAACTCAGTTTCAGCTCCCTCCAAAGATTTTCTATTGGATTCAGGTCTGGAGACTGGCTAGGCTGCTCCAGGACTCTGATATGGTTCTTAAGGAGCCACTCCTTGGTTATCCTGGCTGTGTGCTTCGGGTTATCGTCATGTTGGAAGACCCAGCTACGACCCATCTTCAGTTCTCTGACTGAGGGAAGGAGGTTGTAGCTCATGGTACCAGTCATCCTCTCATCACGGTGCAGTTGCCCTATCCCCCCAAAAGCATGATGTATCCACCCCCATGCTTCACAGTAGGGATGGTGTTCTTGGAATGCAACTCATCCTTTTTCCTCCAAACACAGCAAGTAGAGTTTAGACCAGAAACTTCTATTTTGGTCTCATCTGAGCACATGACCTTCTCACATACCTCCTCTGGATCACCCAGACAGTCATTGGCAAACTTCAGATGAAAGAAAGCAATAAAACAATGTTTTATAAAGCGCCTTTCAAGGTAAAAATCCTGAGGTGCTTCACTAGAACAAAAAAAAAAAATTAAAGATGAATAATTATGGTTAAAATGAAAGAAAAACGTAATAACAAATGTAAGGAAAGGAACAGAGAAATTGAACAGGAAAGAGGGAAGTTGGAGTGGAGATGGTAGAAAGAGCAGAACAAGGAGAGGGAGGTGATGAAGGTCCCACCAAACCTGAACAGGTGAGTTTAAAGGAGACCACTGAGTCCACTGATCTCAGGCTCAGGGGGAGAGAGGTCCAGAGTCTGGGGGCCACAGCAGCAGATGATCTGTCACCTTTGACCTTTAGCCTGGTGCTGCACAACCAGTGGGCTTTGGTCACTGGACCTCAGGGACCTGTTTTTTTTTCCATTTCCATTTATTTGATAGAGCACATTTAAAAACAGCATGTGAGCTGACCAAAGTGCTGTACAGGGGTAAAAACATATAAGGTTAAAGAATAATATAAAAGAATAAAACAACTAGAGCATAGCACAAAGAACCAAACAAGATAAGTCAATAACATCAGTAAAAGAACAGTGTAAATAAACCATGGATAAAATAGCTAGGCAGTAACAGCAAGGGAATAAAAGTAAGTCTTTAAGTGGGACTTAAAAACCCCAGTGGAGGAGGAGAGTCTGATATTCAGCGGGAGATCATTCCAGAGTTTCGGAGCTCAGACAGAAAAAGCTCGTTCACCACGGGTTTTGCAGCGTAGACGGGGAATCTGTAGTAGGTGTAGGTCACCTGAACGGAGAGTCCTGCCCGGCACATAAGGAGTAACTCGGATAAGTAAGGTGGAGCTAAGCCATTCAGCGCCTTAAAAACAAACAATAACATTTTTAAACGTATGCGGTAATGCACAGGAAGCCAGTGAAGTCTTGCCAAAATTGGAGTGATGTGCTGACTACAGCCAGTATTAGTCAGAAATCTTGCTGTTGCATTCTGTATCAGCTGAAGGCGAGATCATGCAGCTTTTGAAATGCCAAACAGAATTGAATTGGATTAGTCCAACCTTGAGGTGATGAAAGCGTGAATAGTTGTCTTGAGGTGGCGCTCCACCCCTCTCTTCACCCGAGTGTCCAAAATATGCTGCTGCAGATCAGAAGAAACAACAAAGTTGATCAATGAACTTTGGCTTAAGGTGTCCTGGTGCCAAGAGCACATATGAACACCTTTATGCTTGCAATGGGATTATTTTTAATGCTGTCTACTATGCACCTACTATGTGAGTTTCAGAGCCCTCCATGATTTCTAAGTGGGAGAACTATCAAATCCACAGTGTTCAAATACTCCTCACTGTTGGATCTTCTCTCTTGTCGTCCTGTTATGACTTCCAGTCATGTGATGGTGATGCTGAGAAGGTGCTTGTGGGTGGGGCTAGCCAGTCCAGAGTTCGCCTGATGGCCAGTCAGCTGCAGGCAAAGCTGGAGACACACTCAGTGGCTTCTACCTCTTCAGTTTCCGAGCTACGCCAACAGGTAAGATTTAGTACTCTTCAAATGTTTACAAATTGTTTTTTATTATATGTCTCAACCTGAAACAGGGGGGCAAAGGTCAATTTTCTGTTGATTTGTTTTCTCATTATAACCAGCAGCTATTAAATAACAATTGTGAATTTCCTTGTATGTGCTGCTGTAGCAAGTAAAATTCCCCACTTTGGGATTAATAAAGTCTGCTCTATTCTGTTCTACTCTATTTTAATACTCATCAGTTAAAATATAAATTCTTGTTTAAACCAGCAGGGAGAGCTGCCATCCAACCTTCCTCCCAGTCGGGAAGCTACACCTTCTGTTCAGGCATCATCATGGAGACCGGTAAAGACCAGTTAAAATCAGTAAAGACCAGTTAAAACCAGTAAAGACTTCTACAGAACAGTAAAGGTCAGTTAAAACCAGTAAAGGCCAATTAAAATCAGTAAAGACCAGTTCAAACTAGTAAAGACCAGTTCAAACCAGTAAAGACCACTACAGAACAGTAAAGGTCAGTTAAAACCAGTAAAGGCCAATTAAAATCAGTAAAGACCAGTTCAAACTAGTAAAGACCAGTTCAAACCAGTAAAGACCAATTAAAACTAGTAAAGACCAGTTAAAACCAGTAAAGACCACTACAGAACAGTAAAGGTCAGTTAAAACCAGTAAAGACCAGTTAAAACCAGTAAAGACCACTACAGAACAGTAAAGGTCAGTTAAAACCAGTAAAGACCAGTTAAAACCAGTAAAGACCAGTTAAAACTAGTAAAGACCACTACAGAACAGTAAAGGTCAGTTAAAACCAGTAAAGACCAGTTAAAACCAGTAAAGACCAGTTAAAACTAGTAAAGACCAGTTAAAACCAGTAAAGACCAATTAAAACTAGTAAAGACCAGTTAAAACCAGTAAAGACCACTACAGAACAGTAAAGGTCAGTTAAAACCAGTAAAGACCAGTTAAAACCAGTAAAGACCACTACAGAACAGTAAAGGTCAGTTAAAACTAGTAGTAAAGACCAGTTAAAACCAGTAAAGACCACTACAGAACAGTAAAGGTCAGTTAAAACTAGTATTAAAGACCAGTTAAAATCAGTAAAGACCACTACAGAACAGTAAAGGTCAGTTAAAACTAGTAGTAAAGACCAGTTAAAACCAGTAAAGACCACTACAGAACAGTAAAGGTCAATTAAAACTAGTAAAGACCAATTAAAACTAGTAAAGACCAGTTAAAACCAGTAAAGACCAGTTAAAACCAGTAAAGACCACTACAGAACAGTTAAGGTCAGTTAAAACTAGTAGAGACCAATTAAAACTAGTAGAGACCAATTAAAACTAGTAAAGACCAGTTAAAACCAGTAAAGACCAGTTAAAACCAGTAAAGACCACTACAGAACAGTTAAGGTCAGTTAAAACTAGTAGAGACCAATTAAAACTAGTAGAGACCAATTAAAACTAGTAAAGACCAGTTGAAACCAGTAAAGACCAATTAAAACTAGTAAAGACCAGTTAAAACCAGTAAAGACCACTACAGAACAGTAAAGGTCAGTTAAAACAAGTAAAAACCAGTTAAAACCAGTAAAGACCAGTTAAAACTAGTAAAGACCACTACAGAACAGTAAAGGTCAGTTAAAACTAGTAAAGACCAATTAAAACTAGTAAAGACCAGTTAAAACTAGTAAAGACCAGTTAAAACCAGTAAAGACCACTACAGAACAGTAAAGGTCAGTTAAAACCAGTAAAGACCAGTTAAAACCAGTAAAGACCACTACAGAACAGTAAAGGTCAGTTAAAACTAGTAAAGACCAATTAAAACTAGTAAAGACCAGTTAAAACTAGTAAAGACCAGTTAAAACTAGTAAAGACCAGTTAAAACCAGTAAAGACCACTACAGAACAGTAAAGGTCAGTTAAAACTAGTAGTAAAGACCAGTTAAAACCAGTAAAGACCACTACAGAACAGTAAAGGTCAGTTAAACCTAGTAGTAAAGACCAGTTAAAACCAGTAAAGACCACTACAGAACAGTAAAGGTCAGTTAAAACTAGTAGTAAAGACCAGTTAAAACCAGTAAAGACCACTACAGAACAGTAAAGGTCAGTTAAAACTAGTAGTAAAGACCAGTTAAAACCAGTAAAGACCACTACAGAACAGTAAAGGTCAGTTAAAACTAGTAGTAAAGACCAGTTAAAACCAGTAAAGACCACTACAGAACAGTAAAGGTCAGTTAAAACTAGTAGTAAAGACCAGTTAAAACCAGTAAAGACCACTACAGAACAGTAAAGGTCAGTTAAACCTAGTAGTAAAGACCAGTTAAAACCAGTAAAGACCACTACAGAACAGTAAAGGTCAGTTAAAACTAGTAGTAAAGACCAGTTAAAACCAGTAAAGACCACTACAGAACAGTAAAGGTCAGTTAAAACTAGTAGTAAAGACCAGTTAAAACCAGTAAAGACCACTACAGAACAGTAAAGGTCAGTTAAAACTAGTAGTAAAGACCAGTTAAAACCAGTAAAGACCACTACAGAACAGTAAAGGTCAGTTAAAACCAGTAAAGACCAATTAAAACTAGTAGAGACCAATTAAAACTAGTAAAGACCTGTTAAAACTAGTAGAGACCAATTAAAACTAGTAGAGACCAATTAAAACTAGTAAAGACCAGTTAAAACCAGTAAAGACCAATTAAAACTAGTAAAGACCAGTTAAAACCAGTAAAGACCACTACAGAACAGTAAAGGTCAGTTAAAACCAGTAAAAACCAGTTAAAACCAGTAAAGACCAGTTAAAACTAGTAAAGACCACTACAGAACAGTAAAGGTCAGTTAAAACTAGTAAAGACCAATTAAAACTAGTAAAGACCAGTTAAAACTAGTAAAGACCAGTTAAAACTAGTAAAGACCAGTTAAAACCAGTAAAGACCACTACAGAACAGTAAAGGTCAGTTAAAATCAGTAAAGACCAGTTAAAACCAGTAAAGACCACTACAGAACAGTAAAGGTCAGTTAAAACTAGTAAAGACCAATTAAAACTAGTAAAGACCAGTTAAAACTAGTAAAGACCAGTTAAAACTAGTAAAGACCAGTTAAAACCAGTAAAGACCACTACAGAACAGTAAAGGTCAGTTAAAACTAGTAGTAAAGACCAGTTAAAACCAGTAAAGGCCACTACAGAACAGTAAAGGTCAGTTAAAACTAGTAGTAAAGACCAGTTAAAACCAGTAAAGACCACTACAGAACAGTAAAGGTCAGTTAAAACTACTAGTAAAGACCAGTTAAAACCAGTAAAGACCACTACAAAACAGTAAAGGTCAGTTAAAACTAGTAGTAAAGACCAGTTAAAACCAGTAAAGACCACTACAGAACAGTAAAGGTCAGTTAAAACTAGTAGTAAAGACCAGTTAAAACCAGTAAAGACCACTACAGAACAGTAAAGGTCAGTTAAAACTAGTAGTAAAGACCAGGGCCTCATTTCTGAAGCTGCTTACAAAAAAAAAAAAAACAGGACTGAAAATGGCATCAATGACTTTCTACGCAAACTTTGTGAACTAGGAACCTGTAGACAGGAAACCTGTCAGCTAAGCTGGTTAGACGGCGACTTGTAACACACACACACACACAAACACACACACACACACACACACACACACACACACACACACACACACACACACACACACACACACACACGTAATGTTTCCATGGTTACATTGTGATGTCTTAGTAAATATTCTATTTGGTTAGAGATAAACTTTATTGTATTTATTCTAGTGAATCTATAATTAAACGGGTAAACTAGTAGTAGCACATCCAACGTCAAGGAAAGCAAAAAGTTATTATCAGGAGAGGGAGAATGTTTAAGTGGTTAGCAGCAGTGTGCTAGACCAGTGGTTCCTAACCTGGGGGTCCCGACCCCCACAAGGGGGCGCCAAAGTCTCTCAGTGGGTCACCAGGACCTCTCCACTCTAAGGGATTAAAACTTCATTTATTACTTGTTTATAGCCTACAGTTTGCTCACATTTTTTTTCATGAGAGAAAAGTTTACTGATATTAAGACAGGAAATAATTAGTACAGAAAAAGTAACACACTTTTAAGAACATTTTGCTCAGCTCACTGTTTTATTTTCTAGTGTCAAAAGTTCATTAAAGATAGGACTGGTTGATTAATCACAGCCTTTACAGTAAATAATCTAGTATAAACAGTAATATACTCATTTAAGTATATTTTGCTCAGTGTATTTTTTATGTGTCAAACGTTTATTGAAAGGAATGATTGATTTATCCGTGTTTACAAGAAACAATGTGTTCAGAAAAGTAATACAAACTGTCAAGCACATTATGCTCTGTTTGGTTTTGTTAATGACTTTGTTCTGTACTGGAGCCTACTATTACTGTTATCTATTGAATCAAAGCATATTAAAATGTGCTTGAACAATTTTATCATTTCTTAATGTTTGTACTGGAAGAGAGAATGGGGGGGGGGGGGGGGGGGGTCGTCAAAAATTTTACTGGTAAAAAACGTGGTCCCTTGGGAAAAAGGTTGGGAACCACTGTGCTAGCCGATGGCCCCCTCCATGAGGCCACCACAGCTCAGCAGAACATCGTTGTAGCTTCTTCTGGGGAGAAAAACACTTAGAGAGAAAATAAAGTTAACAGCTGAAATAGCAGGAAATAATACAGTTAAAGAGCAGATTGTAGAAGAAAGCAGTAGAGTGTGAGAAGTGGTCAGTGTATCCTCCAGCAGTCTAAGCCTATAGCAGCATAACTACAGAGTTAACTCTGGATAATCTATCCTATTTAGATGGAGGCATGTTGGAGGCGGGGCAAGGGAGAGTCGTCTTTACCGACTGTACACTCCACCTCCCTGTACTCCCCCACTTGTCCAGATCTAGGCTAACATCAGATTTTAACCATAGGCCCTATCAAATAAAAATGTTTTAAGCCTAGTCTTAAAAGTAGACAAAGTGTCTGCCTCACGGACTAAAGCTGGGAGCTGGTTCCACAGGAGAGGAGCCTGATAACTAAAAGATCTGCCTCCCATCCTAATTTTAGATATTCTGGGAACCACCAGTAGACCTGCAGTCTGAGAGCGAAGTGCTCGGTTAGGAACGTATGGAACAATCAGATCACTGATGTATGATGGAGCTTGATTATTAAGAGCTTTATATGTGAGAAGAAGGATCTTAAAATCTATTCTGAATTTAACAGGTAGCCAATGTAGGGAAGCTAAGACAGGAGAGATATGATCTCTCTTTTTAATTCTCATCAGAACTCTAGCTGCAGCATTTTGGACAAGCTGAAGACGTTTAACTACATTCTGTGGACTTCCTGAGAGTAATGGATTACAGTAATCCAG